AAACAGTGATAGCAGAGCATTAAACCAAACGTAGGGCCTTTTTGACCTCTGGGCCCTGTGTGACTACACAGTTTGCATGCCCATGAAGCTGGCCCTGCTAGAACTTATCCCAGCTTTGTTCTGAGGATTCAATGAAATGATGCATGAAAAGAGCTTAGCACAGGCCTGGCACATGGTGAGTAGTCAACTCAGGTGGCCTGAGGCCAATCAAGGTGCTGGGGCCTTCGGCCAGTCAATGGGGTGGTAGGACAAGGCCCAGAGCAGGGACTTCTGGGAAACCTTCCTCTCTTGGCCCCATGTTCTCCATCTTCTTCGCTGTCTGCTTTTTCTCAATCTGCACAGCAGGTCCCTCCCCCATTCCTATAATAATAATAATAATGCCAGAAACCATTTATTGAACATGTACTATTTCTAGACACTTTGCTTTACTAACATTCATCAGTTAGTTCTCACAACACTTAAGGGCCAACTATTTCATTTTGAAATGGCAGAAACCCAACTAAAAAGGGATTTTGTGACTTACATAACTGAAAAAACCAGGAACAAAACTCTATAAGGTAGATGTTGTCAGAAATCTACATTTCTCCATCTCTCCGCTTTTCTTTGTGGTAGCATCATTGGCAGCCAAATTCTACCCTCATAGTGGCAAGATGGCTGACAGTGGCATTAACCTTACATTGCACCAGCTTCACCACCACTGTAGGAATAGAATAAGAATATTTTCCCCAATAATCTAACTCAAATCCAAGTTGATAGCTCTGACTGGCTGACTTCTGGCAACGTACTTATCTTGAACCAATCACTCTCTATGGCCAGGGAGTTTTATGCCCATCATTGGCTAGGAACGAGTCATAGGCTCACCAGCTGGATCTAGGAGATGGTATCAATTCTATGGTAACAATAAGGATTGAGGGAAGGGCAGGGAAGTTTCTCATAAAGAAAACCAAGCAAGGAGGATGGATACTGGCTGTGAGACCAGCTTCATCAACCCTTGGAAAGGGCTATCATCTCCATTTATGGCTAAGACTACCTATTCACCAAGCCTGATTCCTTTTCCTCTTCAGCACAGCCAGACTACATTTTCCAGCTTCCGTTGCAGTTAGAGGTGGCCATGTGACTAAATTCTAACCAATGGAATTTGAGAAGAAATGATGTCATCACCTCCTGGCCTGGTTCATATAGCAATTGCTACCCTCCAAGCTCTTTCTTCTTGAGAGCTTGTTTGGAGGTTCTAGCAGGAGAGCGCAGCTACTCGTATACCCTTGACTGAAGAACGGTCCTCTCCTCTATCGGGAAAGGTCGTCCTCTTCAACCGAGCGTGCAGCTCCAGAAGGGACGCACGTGGAGCGGTGAGGGAGGACGGGGACACCCGCCTAGCCAGCCAGCTCAGCCGAATCCACCCTGGCGATCACTGGGGTGACAGATGTCGCGGCCGTGTCGCCCTCACATCCTCTTTCTACTTTCACTGGCTTGATGCATACAGGTATGATGAACGTGGAACCGTGCTGAAGATGGCAGAGCCACAAAATCAATGGAGCCTGGGTCTCAGAGGTATTACCACTCCACCAAACAAAACTCCTGCTTTGGACTTTTTGCGACTGAAACATAAACGTCTAGGATGCTCCAGTCCTTATAAATTTTTGGGTGACCTTGTTACAGCAGTTGGCTTCCCCTAACTAATCATCACAGATGAGCAAGGTGAAGCTCAGAGGGGCTATGCGGCGTGCCCAAGGCCACTCAGCCTCTAAGAGGTCAAGCCCAGATTCAACGCTAGGTCTGTCTGAGTCTTTCCAGTCACAACCCTTTGGCTGCAAAAGACAGAAACCTGTTCGAACTGTAACACATAAAGGCAGATCTCTGGGAAAGGCACAGAATTATACCCTATGGAATCTGGGGGAGCCAAGGGCAGAAGTACAGCAGAGGCTCTTAAGGCACTTGGGCGTCATTAGGGAGTTGCTTTCTCTGCCTCTCTCTGACACTGTATGGTATCTCGTCTCAATTTTATCTTGTCCGTGTTTCACATGGACTCGGTTTTCCTCTCTGCGCTCCCATCGCCGTACTTCACATGGCGTTCACGCTGGTGCTCTAACTCTGGTCTAAGGCCCCGTGGCCCTCCAGATATTATCTCTGCCTCAATGTTTAAACTCTCAAGAGAGAGTTTGATTGGCTCAGCTCCCCTGTCTATGGCTGAGCAGCTCCTGTGTGAGGGCCCTCCCCTCTCCATTCAGCGGGGGTGGAGGATTCCATGGGCAGCTCAGGCTGCTCCCCGGCGTTTCCTCTTTAGCCCCAAACACACAGCTGCCCTTAGAAACCTCTCCTAGGCCCCTCACACTCCACTTTTCACATATGCACTCCTTGACTCTTCTCCCCATCTCAACCTGCTATTCCCTACCTCACAGCAGAACCCCTCACCTATCCAGCTACTGAAGCTAGAAACTCATCCCTGAATCTAATCCATTACCAGGTCTTGTCTATCACAGCTCCACTCTGCCTTGGTCCAGACCTCCTTACTTTTCTTCAGAACAATCAGTTGGTCATAGGGTCTTTTTAGCCTCTGTTCACCCCTTCAATTCCCTCCCCACACCAGCTTCCAGCACAAGGCTTTCTAGAAGGCAAATCTGACCCCATCTCTTCATTGCTTGAAAAGTCTTCAGTCCAAAATCCAGGCTATCACTGGGCAATCAAGGTTCTCAGTGTTCTAGCCCTGATTCTCTAATCTATCCTCCTAATGATTGTGCTCATGCTCCTTATGATCCAGCCATGCTGAGGGACTGAACTGCTATCTCTGGCACACAGCTGAGGTTTCCCATCTTCAGCTCACACTTTTTCCTGACCACAACACCCTCTTTTTCATGTGTCCAAAGCTTTGCAGGGAACACCTACCTTTCCCCCCATGTTCTACTTTGGCCCTATCAGGTGAGGTGGTTAGGAATGCCCTAAGCCAGAGAGGTGGTAAGTTCTGCCACCATCTGTCCTGTGGAGGAGTTAGAAAGAGCCGGGGCTGGGTACCAGACCTGGAGCTCTCAGTACATGGCAGCGGGGAGGTAGGGAGGATAGACCTGTCCTTTGGACAGCATGCCTGTGACCATGTCACCCTGGCCATCAGCCGTTTGTCCAGATTCAGACAGAGGGCATAATGGGGGACACACCAGCAACTGGACAGGTAGTTGGAGTGCGAAATGACTCTGTGTGATTCTGTGGGAGCTTGGAGGAACGCCCAGAAGTCATCATGGGGGCAGCCAAGAAGGTGGGCATGCTTACAGGTGTGTGAACCTGCCAGGTGGGGGGCCACAGTTGCTGGCAGCTGTTCGCCCTGCCTGTGGTGGTTTGGAGGCAGAGTGGGGTGGGGTGGGTTGGAGAAAGGGAACATAGGCCAGCCTGCCAGAGCAAACAGGCAGGCCTTCTAGCCCTACCTTCTAGCAAATACCAACTGACAGCTGAGGGTGAGGTGCAGCAGGTGAGGCTTAGGGTTAAGGCCCCTGGGACCGGCAAAGGGGAGTCAGACCCCAGGATGTATATGTGGAGGAGGGGTATAAGGGTTCCCAGCTGCTTGAATGCCTAGGGCTTCCTGTCTCTGAGTGAGAGGTCTCTAGTAGGGGGTTGTGGGGCTCTGTCCACACCTAGCCCTGGCTAACACTTTTCCTGGCAACTTAGGAATACAGGTGAGGCTACCTTTATGGACTGTACTGGTGGGAGAAGAAAGAGACAGGGTGAAAATACCAGGGATATTACACTCGAGATCTAAGGAGCCACAGCCAAAAAACTAGTATTACCCTACCTTTGTAGCCACAGGCTGAGACCTAACTGAGGCCCTGGGAGTCAGGCTAGACGACCCACCCAAGGTAGCAAAGGGCTGGACTATTTGGTCCACGCAGTCATCACTGAGTGTCTCTGTGCTCAAGGAGGCACAGCAAACGGGAGACAGAGAAGGAGTGCCAGGGCCCTGGAAGGAAGAGATCAGGAGGTGGGGGTATACATATATACATGATTTGGGTAGGGGGTCAGCAGATAGGGCATGGGCTCAATCCTGGAATCTATGACCCTGTGCAGCCAAGGTGGATCCCAGAGGCTGAATCTCTGGACAGCAGAGGCCAGCTTGGGGGGCAGGGGGTAAGATGGCGGATTGGGTGAGACTGGCTAGGTCACTCAAGCTGGAGGGGGTGCCAAGCAGACTTCTCTTTGCTCCTCCTGTTGGCAGGGTGAGTGGTTCTGCCTCCCCACAGAGTGCTTCCCTGACCTGTAGCCCTCTTCTGGTTCCCCTGGAGTGGCTGGAGCTCAGGGAGCCCTGGAGGTGGGGGTTCCTCAGACACTCCCTTCCTTGGGCCAAGGCCACTCTCTCTGGGGGCCCTAGCCCTGGCTGGAGGCCTCCACCCCACCCCTCAGGCCTCTCTAGGGAGCCCCACCCCCACCACAGCAGTTACATTTCCTGCTGGGGTGAGGGTGTGCGTCTAAGACAGTTTTACGTTCGTATGTACTGGTTTATTGTTAGAAGTTCTGCTTGTATGAGGAATAACCACTAATTTTCTGGACATTTGGAAAAGAATGAAGAAAGCACAAACATCAAGAGAAGAAAACATCAAGTAATCCCCGAAGGAGAAGGGCTTATTCACAGGCTTCTGAGTTCCCTCTAGACCCAGGGTCTGCAGAATTCGAGTTGGGGGTAGGAAGCCCCTCAGTGGACACCTCCATTTTTCCACCTCCCAAGACCCAGGAGGGCTCAAAAGAAGGCAACTCAGAAACCGGTGCTCCGCAGCCCGCCCCGGCTCTTGGCCCTTGGGGGCTCCCCGAGCTCTGCGGACAGGAGCCGAGGCCCCTCCGGGTTACCGGCACTCGGCTCCCCCAAGCTCGGCGCGCTCTACGCCAGCTGCCTCAGTTCCCTCTTCTGCAGAATGGGCGGGTGGCCGGGCCTCAGCGTCCGGGGGCGCTGCGGGGGCGGGGCGGCGGGTTCCCAGGGCGGCCGGAAGGAGTGTGAGTGCGGGGGCGGGCCCCGCGCCGCCCCGCCCCGGGGAGGGAGCCCGGGGCGCAGCATCCTGGCGCGAGCCTTGGCCCCCGCTACCAGTGCCGTCGGGGAAGGTCCCAGCGCGGACATGGCGTTGTGCGGCGCCCGCTCGCGCCCGAGTCCCCCGCGCCTTGCGCAGTAGCTCCGCGAAGAGGCGGCCTCGACGGTGCACACAGTCGGGCGGGAGGCATGGAGGCCGCGCACCTGCTCTCCGCCGCCGACGTGCTGCGCCACTTCTCTGTGACCGCCGAGGGCGGCCTGAGCCCGGCGCAGGTGACCAGCGCGCGGGAGCGCTACGGCCCCAACGGTGAGAGCGTGGGCCGGGCCGGGGCAGCGGGGGCCGCGCGTGCCGCAGTCTCAGTTTCCCCCCAGCACCGCGGCCGCGGAGCGGTCCACCCCCACATCCAGCTCTCTGCCTCCGCGGGCGGGCAGGAAGCGAGGGCTCCGGAAACCTCTGCAGATGCTCTTGGGGCACCCGGCGAGGCTGCGTGGCCACCTTTTCGAGGGGGGGTGCGGTGGGGAATGGGTTCCGGGTTCGGAGGCCGGACGCCTGGCTCCCCCTCCCTCTCCCCCTACCTCCAGGCCCAGGGACCTGCACGGTCCTTACAGGCTGAACACCTCCACAGACCCCATCCACTCGTGCAAGCCTTAGCCCATCCCCATCGGCGGTCAGAGATGGATCCCTGAGCCGCACTGCAACCCGCCCGCAGCGTGCAGGTGCACACACTGAGATCAGCTGGCGATGGACCAGCCAGGGACTCTAAGGCCCAACCTCCCAGCTGGCCCCTAGCGTCTCCCCCAGGGCTCAGTAAAAGACCCAGAAGCTGCAGCCTGTCAGCTGGTAGCCTTGGTGCCCCCACCCCCACCCCCAGATCTTCCTCTTTTCTGCAACCCGAGGCGGATGTGGCTGGCGGGAGTCGGTGGGGTTTTGAACTGCTGGGGCTGGAGACCCGCCTTCCTGGGGGTAGCAGATTCAAGGTCTCACTCTGGGAGGTGCCTGGGGAGGCCTTTCCTTCTTGGGTAACCCGGAGTGGTGCCTGCCCATCTCTGGGCAGGGAGGGAGCCTTCACGCTTTTGCTGTCTGGGTGGGAGCGGTAATATTTCTTCACCATCTTTAAAGGAGTATGGGATTCTCCACCTGCCAAAAGGCACAGTAACTGCAGGTACCGTCCAGATGTGGCCCTGGCACATTTGGAGGCCCTGTGAGGGTGGAAGATGTCGAGGTCCCCTCCCCAAGTCGCTTCCAGGCAGGACTTGCCACCCGCTTCCTACATCCCCAGTGTGTTAGGGGTCCAGAGAGAAATGTCTCCACTATCCCCAAAGTGCAGCCTGGACCTGTGTCCTTTCAGGATCTGGGGCCTCACCCTTTCAGAGTTCCCAGCTAACCAGAGGGGTCAGTGCTCTGGCCTGAGTGTCTCACTGCGCTGGGCTGGCTGAAAATTACAAAGAGCTGTCAGAAAGGGAGCTTTGGGTTTTGTGTTGGTTTATAAAAACCACCTCTTATATAAATATTATCTTTCTGGAGCAGAAATCCTTTTTCAAAAAAATTAGTTTCTATATTTAGTTGCGCTGTGGGAGGAACTAGGGAGATAAATATTATTTAATATCCCCCATTAGTGACTTGGCAGGGAGGGTGTCGTTGTCGCAGGAGAATGGGACAACAGGGCCTGTGCCCGACCCTGTGGGGGTGGTGGGGGTCAGGCAGCAGGTCTGGGGTTGCCCAGCCTCTTCTGTGCCGCTGCGGCCTCCAGCTTGGGAGTCCCGATTCCCAGGGGAGACTGGAGACCCAGCCCTTAGTTCTGCCTCCAGAATCACACAGATTCTGCCCTGTGTGGCCCTAGGCAACACCCCGCTCCTTTCTGGCCCCAGTGTCTTCATCAGTTGAGCAGAAGAGGGGCTGACTGAGGCAAAGAGAGCCCCTAGTTCTCTCCATGCTGTTTTATCTGGGCGAAGGAATTTGGGGGTGCCTTGGCCACTAAGCACCTGTGTGAGATGATGGACAAGGATGTTGGTGTGGTGTGTAGGACCACAGAAAGGTAGATGAGCATGAGGAGGGGGTACATCAGAAGGTGTGCATTAGGAAAATTTTGGAGGCCATTGATAGGCTCCCCTGATTCCTCTGTGCTAGTAGTAATAAAAGCTAATGTTCACTGAGCACTTACTATGTGTTGGGCACTTTTCATCTTTTATCTCATTTCTTCTCCAAAACAACTCTATGATAAACAACTATTGTCATCCCCATTTTACAGAGGAGGTAAACTGAGGCATCAGGAGGTTGGACAGCTTGCCCAAGGTCACACAGCAAGTGGTAGTGCTGGTTCTGGGTGCCTGCCCCTCTCTGGGCCTCATTTTCTCTGTCTGTACAAGGGGGTCCCAGGTTCTCCAGGCTCTGGGGTCCTGGTGTTGGTGCCTGTGCTAGGAGGAGCTGGGGTCAGCTAGGCAGGAGCTAATCCAGCTTTGCCCCCAGCCCCCACGGGGCCCCAGGGGGCGCTTCCCTTGGGTCACTGATGGCTTTTCCTCAGGGAGCATTCCAGGGCTCTGGAAGTGGTCAGGTGAGGAGAGGGGTGCCAGCTGCCCCTTTCTGCCTCATACTCTCCCCATCCAGCCTGAGCCTGAGAAGGCGGCATGGATGTCCTCTAGTCTCTACCTGCACAGCCTCTAGGGTGAGGCTGACGAGGTTTTGAACCGTGCAATCCTGGATAAGCCACTTCGTCTCTCTGCCTCGGTTTCTTTATCGCAAGCGAGGCTACAATAGGACCCATGTCATAGGGTTGTTTGTGAATGTTCGTGTTCACCAGACCATCCCTTCCTTGTAGCAGAAGAGGCTGGGCCTGGCTCCCAGCCAGAAGCTGGGTGGCAGGGTGGGCGGGACCTGCAGATGGAGGGGAACACCCCAGAGACTAGTGTCCCCCTCACCCCAGGAGTCTATGCACCTGCAAGGTCGTTAGGGCTGGAAACCACAAGGAAGTTATTTGCTTAAGTCCTGAAGTTTGCAAATTATGCCAGCAGGAGGGAGGAAGGGAAGCCGGGCTGGGCTCCCGCCCTCCCCCCTTCCCCCCTTCCTCCCTCCTTGGAAGTGGGGGAGGGGGCCCTCAGCACTGCTGTCAGTGAGGATGCCAGCCACCTGGGAGTCCCCCATACTCACAGAACCCAGGCCTAGAGATGTGTCCTCTGAGGCCAGAACGGGGCAGTGAGTGGGATGCTTCCGGCCCAGCACCTCTTGTAAGCCTGCCTTTCTCTGCAGGTCCCAGACACGCTCAGGACTCAGTTTCCTTGGGGGGTGGGGGTGGGGATGGGGGTGGGGGCTTCCTACATCTTTTCAATTTATCATTTGAATAAAAATATACACACAGTACAACATTCAAAGGGTTCAAAGGGTATACACAGTAAAGTCTCCCCACCCCTGTCCCCAATCACCCACTCGCATTTGTCCCCCGTGTCCCCTTCCCAAGATATTCTGCGCACATACACATCTGGATCTGTGATCTATGATCTTTTTTACACACAAGGGAGTGTATTGCGAGCTGTTTGCCCCTGCTTCTCACGTGACAAGCACTCTTGGAGATGGCGCCATGTCCAGCATCCTTGGGCTTCCTAGTGGTGACGCAGGGTTTCATTGTGTGGCTGTCCCAGCGCGTCCACCCCGGCTGTTGATGGGTGCTCTGGTTGTTCGCAGCCTCCGCTATCACACATGTTACAAGGCATATCCTAGTCCCTACGTCATTTCACACACTTGTGAATATCCTCAACGGATAAATTCCTAGAAGTGGATTTGCTGGGTCAAAGGACGTGTGTAATTTAGCTTGACAGCTGTTGCTAAATTGTTTTCCATCAAGTTGCACCAATGGACCTGCCTGTTTCCCACCTCCAACGCAGTGGATTTATTGGGCATTTTGATCTGTTTCAATCTGATAGAAAAGTGTCCTCTCATGGTTTTACTTTGCATTTCTCTGCTTACAAGTCAGGTTGGGCATTTTTTCATATATTTAGGAATCATTTGATTTTCTTGTGTCGGTGAACGGGCTGCCCATCACTTTTGCTGGGTGTAAGCCAAGGTAGGAGGCAGAACTGGGTTGGGCATGTCCTGCCAATTGGGCCAACACCCAAGGGCCCTGGAGAGCTCAGTGATGTGAGAGTCAGGAGAGATTCCAGGAGGTCTCCAGGGGTGGTCTCTTTTCAGGGTAGCTGGGGGAGGGGACTTGATGGGCTGGCCGAGCCTCCTTTCCCGGGCTTCTCGCTGCCGATCTATGCAGTGGGTATGACAGCCCCTGAGCTGCCAGGTGGGAGGGATGGTTTGGATTTAGATTCCTGCCAGGGATGTCAGCTGTGGCCTTATCTCCTGCCCTTAACACAGGCCCCAGGTGGCTGCTGGAACTCTGGGGAAGCCCACAGAAACCAGGCCAAGAGGAGGGGGGCCCGTCAGGAAGGAGGAGGGAGTGAGATCTGAGTGGCCCACTGGCTGGGTGGCCTGGGGCATAGTTGCCCTTCCTTGACCTCCGTGTCCTCAATAGAGCAGAGATTGGACCTCGAGGCCCCCTCAGGGCTTTTTGGATGTGCAATGGCTCTTGGATCTGAGAGGGGGGAGGCTTGTCTGCAGAGATTTGGAAGTTCCAGGTCATTCAAGCTTCACTCTGGTTTTCACACTCTTGTTGGGCAGCCTTAGAGCCCTCTCCCAGGGACAGTATCAGGCCTGTCCTCTCGGAACCCCCCATCGCCTTGTACCAGAAATTCCCTGAGGCAGGGCAAGGTCTGCCCACAGCACAGCCGGTACACAGATGCTGAGCCAAACCTTTGCTAGGGTGTTTTAGTGCCAAATCTGCCAGGTAGGCTGCGGGCCCTGCAGAGCAGGACACGTACCCCAAGGCCCCCTGCAGCGTGGGGCCAGGTTATCCACTCTAGGTGGGCCCTGGAGACCTGGGCAGGGCCAGGTGGGTTGGGTGAGGCTGCCCAGCAAGGGCCTCTCCCTTATTCTGCAAGTGACAATTTAATTGCTCTGTAAATTTACCTTTGAGGAAGACCTTGGTAAGCACTTGCCTCTCCCAGCTGGAACTGACATTTAGAAGCCGAAATACCAGTTTTCAATGTTGGGAGAAGGAAAGAATCAAGAAGGGTGAATTAGGGGAGCAGGTGGTGCTTGGAGCCTGGGGGCAGCCCTGGGCCTCAGGGGCTCTGGGCTGTGGGCCCAGGGCACTGGCCCTAATCGTGGGACAACTGAGTAAACAATTCTGCAAAGCTGTGTGTGGACGCAAGGGTAACCCAGCCCCTCCCCACCCTGGAGGCACTCCAGTCGGGGAGGGCAGCCCCCATGCTGATAACTGGTGAGAGAGGGACAGGGTGCTCAGGGGACCGGGCTTTTCTGGGAAGCCTTCCTGGGAAGCTGGGGTTTAAATGAGGAGTTGGAGAAGGGTACCCTGCACAGAAGGAATGGCCCAAATAAAATCTTGGAAGGGGAAAAGCTTCAGCAGAATCAGGGGAGGTGGTGGCAATCCTGAAGCATCTCACTTGACTGTCAGATGGACAGAGGTATGTCTAAGATATGGGAGTGGTTCTGGAAGGATAACCTGGGGCAGATCCAGGAAGGCCTTGAAGGCCATGCTAAGGTTGGTCTTTATTCTGCAGGCCAAGGAGAGCCGCTGAAAGTCTATGAGCCCAGCAGAGGCAAGGTCCTTCATTCATTCATAGGTTTTTATTGAGCATCTACTGTGTGCCAGATATTGTTGCAGATGCTGGGGTCATTGCACTTAAGAAAGTCCTGCTGTCATGGAGCTTACATTCTATAACTATCATTATGGCTAATTTTTTTGGAGCATTTACCATGTGCTGTGCATATTCTGAGTGTTTTACTCATAGCATATCATTTAATCTCCACACGAACCTTATGAGGTAGTTACGACGATTATCCCCATTTTGCATATGGGGAAACTGAGGCACAGAGAGGATGACAGAACTACCAAGAGCTAGAGCAGGATTTGAACTCAAGCCCTCTGCACCAGACTCGTTGCTCTAAGCCATGAAGCGTCTCTGATGATATCAGGCCCCCTAGACCAGCCCCACATCAGCCATCTGTGGGTATGGGCCAGCTCAGTTTGGCAGCAGTGACCCAGAGCAAGGGTCGGCTGGAAGAGGCCATTATATGAGAGGCCCAAAGGTCTGCTATTCCAGAACAGCGGGGGCTACATGCCCTGGACTGGCCCAGCCGGGACATTGGAGGGAGCAGCACCTCCGGTGACTGCCTTTGTCTGGGCAGCCTGGCAGAGCAGACGGCACCAAGAGGTGGGCATCTGGCACTGCTGAGGGCCCGATGCCACCATGTCAAGGGGAACTGACTTAGCCCCCAACATATAGCCTGGGGATATCAAGGGGGAACCAGAATCTTGCAGGGGTGCCTGGGGGAGGGGCTGGACTTCTGTGGCCCTGGGACTCGGTCTTATGAGAGGAAAATTGGGTTGTTTGGGGTTTGGGCAGGATTGGAGTTTGAAGCAGACCAGGCCCAAGCAGGCAGGGCCTCGTAACCCCCAAAACACCCCCTGTGAGAACAGCAGAGCCTTTTGGACCGGGATGATTTTGGCTGGTGGCTCTGGGGCCACAATAGAAGGATGAGTTGATTGATGGGATGAGGGTATCTAGCCCAACAATCAGGACATGGGACACCAAGTTTTGTCAGGTGACCCTGGCTAGGGGAGGTAGAGGAACCAGGGTAGGGAAGGCAGGACAGTCTAGGAGTTAGCGCAGGAGGTCCTGAGCAGGGAGTTGAGAATTAGGCTGTCTGAGCTCGAAACCCTTTCTGGCCACTTCCACTTCCCAGCTGTGTGAACATGACCTAGTCACCCAACCTCTCTGGGCTTCAGTTGTCTACTTTGTAACGTAGGGATAATAATTGTATCCTTCTCAAGTTGTCTGAGAGTCACAAGAGAGTAATGCCCACGAGGCGTTAGCATGGCACCTGGCACACCCCACACCAGTCATTCCACTGTAATTATTCTCACGTGCTCGGCACAATGCCTTCCCGTTTATCTTTGGACATAATGGAGGTAAAGCACCTGGCACACAGCTTGGTACGTAGTAGGTGCTCAGTAAATGGGGCTTTTATTAATAGTAATGATAATCCTCACAGCAGCCCTTCAGAGTGGGAGCTGAGTACCACATCTTCCAAATGAGACTCAGAGCCCCCCAGGGAGCCAGCTGCTCAGGCAGAACTAGAAGCACATGTACACAGGGTGCCAAAAAAATATATACATATTCTAAGAAAGGAAAAAACTTCAAAATTGTAATACTCAATGTATACCGATAATGAAAGATAAATACAAGAAATACAAGTCACGTTTGACTTGTGCAGTTACAAGAGGTGCTCAAAGTGGTTACCGTCAGCATCCAGACACTTCTGATTACGGCGAACTACTGCTTGAGCAACATTGACCAAAGTGTCCACTTGTATACCTTTTATTGGCACCTCTGGTGTGTGCGTGTGTAGGATGGGCAGGGCATCTGCTGTGACATCATGGCTGGCTGGGTGGAAGGGGAGCCTTGTGGTAGAAGCCAGGTGTGGGGAGAAAGGTGTGTTAGCCAGGACTGACTAGGTGCTGCTGCTGCAGTAACAACTCCCAAATCTCAATGGCTTAAAACTATAGAGGTCATTTCTTGCTCATGCTGTATATATCAGATGCAGGTCACCTGGGGGCTCTGTGTCTCCTGCACTCTGACTCAGGTTTGCAGAGCAGACACCATCTCACAGGTTGCTGGTTGCTGCAGCAGAGGGACAAAGAGCCCCAAATCTGCGCGGTCCAGTATGGCAGCCACTAGCCTTATGGGGCTATTTATATTTAAATGAATGAAAATTAAGTAAAATTAAGTAAAATGTAGCTATTCGGTCACACTAGCCACATTCCCAGTGCTCAGTAGCTTCATGGGGCTGGTGGCTACTGTATCAGACAGTGCAGCTATAGGGTACTTCCATCACCCGGAAAGTTCTGTTGGATGGCACCCTTCTAGAGAGTCTCCCACCGGCAGTTCAATGCTCCTGTCCAGAACTAACACATGTCCTTCCTTTCATGACTCACATACAGGGGCTGGGAAGTGCAGTCCTAATATGTTCCCCCAACGTGGGGAGAAACAGAAGTACAGCAAGTTCTTAGTTGACGTCACTGATAGGTTCTTGGAACTGCAGCAAAACAATGTATAACAAAACCAATTTAACCATAGGCTAATTGATAAAAATAAGAGTTAAGTTCTTGTGCCATTCATCAGTGTTATAAAGAAACGACACTGAACAAAATGATGTTATTCAAGGACCTGCTGTTTTGGGGGATCAGCATAATGACCACCAAATAGTGGATCCAAGTCAGCTTGTGGGTCATAGAGCAAAAGGGGAGACCCAGGTGGAAGGGTAGAGATAGAAGTATTTGAGAGACTGACTGAGGCAGGCAGAGCCAGGTGGCTTGGGAGGGGACTAGAGCTGGTATGTGTGTCCCATGACATGTCCCAACCCCAGACCTCACCCTTGCCCAGAAAAATGCCCTAAGTAATATGATAGCCTACGGGCCACATGCCTGACAGAGGGAGGGGTGAGGGAGACAGCAGGGACACAGTTCAGGAAGTCTTACAGATACTCTTCCTTTGGTCAGGAATCTTGAAGATACCACGGAAGTGAGGGTTTTAGGCATCTTGTGGATAGAGCACAGCACAAGCAGGCTGAAATGCGCCACGAGGTTGACACAGTTCTGTGCTGAGGCTGGGGCATGGCCAAGATGACCTCGAAAGGACCCTACTCCATTGGAGAATTGGCCCAGAAACCAGGCCTGGCCCTCCCCCCACCTTTCCTGTTCGCTACAGCTAAATAGATCAGAAGGAAAAAGTCTGTTTGATTTTAATCTCAACGCAGGACACTGGAGATTACATTTTCCACGGAAAATGTCAGCCATTGCCTAAAATAGGACTTTGGAGAAAATGCTAGAAAGTGTATTTTTAGGTTCTATGTTTCCCTCCTGGAGTCCTGCAGTCCAGCGGGCTGCTTGACACTCTCCACAGTTCAGCTACCAGGTGCGGAGCCCAGACCTTCCAAACAGATGGTCTGGGAGAGGTCTCCCACAGGACAAAACTGATTGCAGGCACTCAAGCCAAAACCAGGTGGACAGTGCAAGTACCTGTGTCAAGCAGGAGAAGGAAGAGAGAGCCAGCCTGGCGTGCGGCCTCAGAGTCTGAACAAGCTCCTGAGTGATGCCAATGCTGCTAGCCTGGAGTCTGTCCTCTGAGGAACAGGGGACAGGAAGCAGGGCTTCGTTAGGTTGGTCTGGGTGGAACCCCAGACCTCAGCAGGGCCTGAGCCCGCCCTTTGGAGGGAGAAGCCTATCGGAGGCCACCCTCTTCAGCTCAGCTCCCGTCCCTTCCGGCAGACCCACATAAACACACCTACTTGCTGTGTGACCCTGTTCAAGCCACTTCTCCACTCTGAACCTCAGTTCTTGCACCAGTGCCTCCCCAATAGGCTGTTAGGAAGAGTCAAAGACTTCAGGGACCAAGGCAGCCAGCTCCGCCTAGAACAAAAGGTGCTTCAGGAAATGTAGGAGATAAAAATGGAGCCCACGAACTGACAGCAGGTCCCGGTGGTGTTTGAAAACATTGTTCTTCAAAATGTTCTGTGGGTCTGAGTGGGATTGGGCATGTGGGGTGGGTCTTCACCGAGTTAGCCTGGAATGCAGGGCCTGGGAGGGGACAAGCTGAGATTCAGCCTCTAGGAGCTGAACTGTACAGGGTTCCTCATTGCCTGGGATGCTGGGGGCTGGGGTTGTGTCCAGGGAAAGCCCCCCGGTGAGGTGGGGCTCAGAGGGCTGGCTGTAATGCAGACCTTGACTCGGTCCCATGTCACATGCAGCCCGAGCTGATGTTTGCAACTTGAGAGAGAGACTGCCTTGCTGTGGGGGTGGAAGCATCCGGGCTCAGACCATCCATTCTGTGACCTCAGAAAGCTGTAGGGACATACCTAGGCCACTGTGGTAGCGTGGGTGGGCACAGTGGGGAGGGGCTGCCCAGACTCCTCCAAGGCCCATCGCATAACCCAGGCGTCTCTTGTCTCCTCATGGCTCCTGTGACTGATGGATCCCGCAGAACTCCCAACCGAGGAAGGTGAGGCTTGGGCCAGGGCGGGCTGCGAGGCCAGGGGGTGACATCCTCGGGCCAGTCACTGTCAGATTGTATCCTCCCCTCTGGGACAGAGTGAGGACCTGCTGAGCCCCCAGCATCGCCCACCTGTGCCTCTCAGGGCCTTGGGCTCTCCCTCTTTGAACAGTAGAGGGAGTGGGCCGGGTGGGCCCCAAGGCTGACCCAGCTCGGAGTGGGGGGGGCAGGCCCGTCCGTCTGGGGTGCAGGCCTCACACAGTGTTCCCTTTCCCAGGGAAGTCCCTGTGGGAGCTGGTGCTAGAGCAATTCGAGGACCTCTTGGTGCGCATCCTGCTGCTGGCTGCCGTGGTCTCCTTTGTAAGTAGGGTCCCCGTCCTGCTCCATCAGGCAGCCTGAGGAGAAGTGGGGAGGGCCAGGGCAGGGCAGGGCGTGGCTCCGAGGCCCAGGGTCCGGACACAGGGCTGTCCTCTCAGCTGGGGGCACCCCTGGGCCCCTCCGCACCCCTGCCCTGCTCAGGCGTCCGCTTCCCTGTGAACCTTTGCAGTCCTCCACTGGACCCTCCTCCTACCTGCCCCTCCATCCTGTCTGTCAGGACGCCTGAGCCTGCGCCTCCTGTCTTAGCGCAGGGTTTCTCACCCTCAGCACTACTGACATTTTGGACCAGATGATTCTTTGTTGTGGGCCTGTCCTAATCACTAGACTATTTAGCAGTATCCCTGGCCTCCACCCACCAGATGCCAGCGGCACTCCCCAGTTGTGACGGTCAAGTCTTCAGAAGTTGCCAAATGTCCCGTGGGGAGGGGGGGACAAGATCACCCTGGTTGAGAGCCCCTTCCGTGGCCCCCGCTGCCTCTCAGAAGACTTTAGGCCTTAACCTCTTGCAGCCTCCTGGGGTACTGCTCCCCGTTGCGCTTGCCCCACTCCTGCTGCCCATGGCCGTGGGGCCAGGCTGGAGCAGTGGAGGAGGGGACAGTGGGTGCCATGAGTGGGGGAGGGGGCAGCGGTTGTCATTAGCAACAGAGACCCAAAGGGTAATACAGAGGAATGGCTGCCCTGAGGGCGGCCGTGATTCCTGCTCCTGACCCCATGCCCAGGAGGGCCGGGGGAGGAGACCTCATCTTGGTGACTGACGTGGAGTGTAGGAGCAGCAGGACCCTGGCTGGGACCAGTTCTTCCCCTGCAGGCAGCTGTGTCTGTCCCTCCTGTCCACTCACTTTCCTTGTGGAAACCAAGGACTCTTAACAGAGACAAAAAAGTCTATGCAGCTGAAGCTGAGCTGAAAGGGTGCTGGTAGACCTCCACAGTACAGATGGACACACTGAGGCCCATGGAGGGGAGAGACAAGTATCCACTTGGGCCAAGAGGTGGGAACGAGACTTGAACCTGGTCTCCCACCTCCGGGCCGGGGCTCTGGCTGGAATCTTGCTCCTCTGGCCGTGGATTTTGAGTATGAGCCTGAAGCAGGACCACCTGGGCTTGTTAAAACAGACTGCTGGGCGCCACCCCAGAGTTTCTGACTCAGGAGGTGATGCATGTGTGTAACAAGTTCCCAGCTGCTGCTGCTGCTGGTCTGGACACCACACCTGGATAACCATAGCTAGGCAGACAGTGAGACCTCCAGCTGGCAGCTGTACAGTTGCCCCACATCACTGAAAGTTGGCAGGTGGCACTTGAAGTGTGGCGGCCACTACTGTTAGGGGCTGGGTGTCCTGAGCCAAGGCCTTCTCAGAACAGCCCTCTCCAAGCCCAGGGCTCCCTCGGGGCATCTCCCCCAAAGCAGGGGAGCAGACAGGAGACCCAGAGTACAAAGGAAGTGGTGAGCAGACCCTGGCTCACAGCCTGGCCCAGACTCACCAGCTCTGATCCCGCAGGTCCTGGCCTGGTTCGAGGAGGGCGAGGAGACCACGACAGCCTTTGTGGAGCCCCTGGTCATCATGCTGATTCTCGTGGCCAATGCCGTCGTGGGCGTGTGGCAGGTGGGAGGCACAGGGGTGGGGCTGGGCCCTGGGTTCTCGTGGCTGCTGGGTGTGACCTCTACCTAGTACGAGTCCTCCAAGTCCTGCTTCCATCTCCATCCCAAGCCCCAGGGATGTCGCTCCAAGGGGGTGGCCTGCTGGGACCAGCAGGGACAGACCACTGCCTGCCTCGTGTTCTGCAGGAACGCAATGCTGAGAGTGCCATCGAGGCCTTGAAGGAGTATGAGCCCGAGATGGGCAAGGTGACCCGCTCGGACCGATTGGGCGTGCAGAGGATCCGCGCCCGGGACATCGTCCCTGGAGACATCGTGGAAGTGGCTGGTATGCTGGGGGCCTCCTTGCATTATGTCGCACTGGTGAGCCTGTCCCTCTCTACGCTCCTGTCTTTGTGGCTGTATATGCAGAGGGGTAATTGTCAGATTCCTCCAAAGCTCTTTGGCCCAATGCCTGCTGGACAGATGAGACCGTAGGCCAAGGAGTGGGGTCCACCTGAGGGATCACCGTTTAAGCCTCCGCCTCTCAGCCCTAGCCTTGGTTCCTAGGAGCCTGCCTGGCTTTCTCGGGGGGTGGTGCCCAAAGCCACACTCAGCCAAGCCATGTTCTCCCTGCAGTGGGAGACAAAGTGCCTGCTGACCTTCGTCTCATCGAGATCAAGTCCACTACTCTGAGAGTCGACCAGTCCATCCTGACGGGTGAGGCCTGGAGGCCGGGCTGAGCAGGGGCTGGGTCCAGGGATGGGGGTATCTTCACGTGGGGCGTCTCATTTCTCATTCTACAACCAGGTGAATCCGTGTCTGTGACCAAGCACACAGATGCCATCCCAGATCCCAGAGCTGTGAACCAGGACAAGAAGAACATGTTATTTTCTGTAAGTCCCTGGGGCCTTTGCTTGGAAAATGATAATAAAAATGATTCATTCAGATGAATCAGTTAAAGCCCTACAGGGAAAAAAACCTCATCGATTGCTGACAATGCATATAAATTTGTAGTAAAATACTAGCTTGTGTTTACTGAAGCCTGTGCCTGGCACTGTTCTAAACCCTTTACATGTATTCATTTATTTAATCCTCACAGCGCCTTTGAAATAAGTGCTCTCGTTAAGTGTATTTTCCAGGAAGGAAACAGGTACAGAGAGGTTAAGTACGTTGCCCAAGGTCACACAGCCAGTGAATGGCAGAGCTGGGATGTGAATTCAGACATTCTGACTCCAGAGCTCTGCCTCTCACCTGCTAGGCTTATCCTGCCTTAATCTGGAGAGGGGTGGCGTTTGCCTGTAATCACGCAACAGAGAATCTTCTAGAGGGAAGAGGGTTGCCAAAGTGGTGGAGGATGGCAGGAACAGTCCATTTCTCCAATGGGAAAACCAACCCCCAAGGCCAGACACCAGGCCCTCCTGGCTCATTTTAGGGAGAGTGATGGGTTCGGCTTTGGTGGGAGTGATCTGCCCCAGTGGCCTCAAAGGGACTTAACCAGTGATGCTCACAGGCTGCCCAGAAGCAGCCTGAGGCCAAGCATGGAGGTCACAAGGATGGCCCAGCCCAGTCGGCAGTGGCGCAGGGCACCAAGTTATAACTTGACAGAGAACCTCCCCGTAAGTGAACAGAAATGGAGAAAGTGAATTTCATCCAGAGCTCTTCCTGAGGAGAGCACCCTGCCTAGATGCAGGGGAGCCTTGGGGTGGAGAGGGGACCCCAAGGGGCATGCTTAGGCGTCAGCAGCTGTCACTAAGGAGCTTTGTAAGGAGGACGCTCTGGCTAACTGCTGGTCATTTCCTTAGCTGAGGGCCCTGCAAGTGGGAGCCGGGATCTGCATTACTCAGGGCCAAAGAGAAGCTGCGGCTGCCACCAGCACCCACCCTCTCTCCAGCCAGGCACAGTGCACGTGTCTGCAACGGTACTGAATTATTAGCCTCCTCAGAGCAGCTGCGTCTTGGGCCTCTGTTGGACCACTTTCCAAAAGAGGACATAGAGGCTCAAGGCTGGCCGGCCCTTACAACAGGATTTAGGGAATGGATGGGCTTCAGCTCAGGTCTTCCGGATTCTTCAGTAAATATTTACGGACTGTTTACCTGGGATCGCAGTCAGCTGCACTCCTGTATGGCCACATTGGTTGTTTCTGAATCGTGTTTTGATGGCTTGGTGCTGTGCTGTGCTAGCTGATCATCCTGTCAGTATTGGCCCGGTGCTTCCTCTGTGCCAGGTCCTATGCTAGGCACTGGGAATGCGGTGCTGAACCAAGTCCCTGCCTTCATAGAGCTGACACTGTCATGGGGATGACAGCAATCACTCAGTACCACATAGCTGCGTAAGTCTAGGAGCCCTAAGTGACATGGAGAAAAAGCGAGCCAAGCAGGGGAGTAAGAGCCCTGGTCTGGCCTGCAGGGGTCAGGGGTCCTGGGCCCTGGCTGGGGTGCTAAGTGGCCCTTCCCTCATTCCTCCCTCGGCCAGGGCACCAACATCGCATCAGGCAAGGCAGTGGGTGTGGCAGTGGCCACAGGCCTGAACACAGAGCTGGGGAAGATTCGGAGCCAGATGGCGGCTGTGGAGCCCGAGCGGACGCCGCTGCAGCAGAAGCTGGACGAGTTTGGGCGACAGCTTTCTCATGCCATCTCTGTGACCTGTGTGGCTGTGTGGGTTATCAACATTGGTCACTTTGCTGACCCGGCCCACGGCGGCTCCTGGCTCCGCGGCGCGGTGTACTACTTCAAGATTGCTGTAGCCCTGGCCGTGGCCGCCATCCCCGAGGGCCTCCCGGCCGTCATCACTACATGCCTGGCGCTGGGCACACGGCGCATGGCACGCAAGAATGCCATTGTGCGGAGTCTGCCCTCTGTGGAGACCCTGGGCTGCACCTCAGTCATCTGCTCTGACAAGACGGGCACACTCACCACCAATCAGATGTCTGTCTGCCGGGTGAGTGTCTACAGCCAGCTGGGAGTCCTGCTGGTGTTGCTGTGTGATGCCCAGCAGGCTGGGCTCCCTTTCTGGGCTGTTCCCTGACTCCTTTTTGGCCGGGGATGAAGGCCAGAACCTGTGCACTGTCCCATGGTGGGGAACAGATCCAGGATTTCATGGGGCAGCGCAGCAAAGCCTGGTGGGACATGTGTCACTAGCACCCATGGGTCAATGTAGGGCCCATCTATGAACTTCAGTTTCCTCATCTGAAGTTGGGGTGTGCGAGCCCTGCCAGTTAACCAGAGAGAACACGGGAGAGGGTCAAGTGCAGCCTTAGCATCTGAACCAAGCTGGGCCTGAACCCAGGTTCTATCCTGCTCCACCATGACTCGGCAGTCAGCACCCGTCACCAGATATGCCAGCTCCAATGACCCGGGAAGAGCCAGGGCAGGAATTATTCATTCCCTGGTACTTGATCCCAGATCCTGGGCCCACTGCCCACATGCTCCAGGGATCCTGGCTGAGACTCCAGCAGACCCATGGGGCAGACAGTAGGTGGGGTGATGGTGAAGGTTGTGGGTTTCCTATCCATCCCGGGTTCTCCCATCACTCCTCCCCCAATCCTGCTCCCATAGTCTGCCCACTAGGCCTTGGAAACCCAGGCTGTGTATCTGAGACCTTAAAGCCCCATCAAAACCCATGAGAGGCTGCCGCAGGAGAGGGGGCACCAGCAGCTAGACTGTGCTGCTAAAATCCCTAGTAGGACTTCATTTGAACAGTGTGGTCCTTGACAGAAATAAAGACTTGAAGAGCGCAGTATAGGGAAGTTGTAGAGACCGTACATGCTCAATGAAGGGCTGAGAAAAACTTGACTCCTCAGAGGCTATGCTGGTGGGAGGGCTGCCTCCTGGAGCAGGGAAGAGAGCATGAAGGAAGGGACATTTTTTGAGCACCTACTGGGTTCTGGGCTGGCCATAGGTTTGGGGATATGCAGTGAGGCAGTTTCCAGGAAGCAAGAACTCTCTCCCTAGCAGAGCTGGCTGACAAAGAAACGGTCTTCCCTGGGAAGGGTGAGCCCCCATCTGGGGGGTACACAGGTAGGGGCTGGGTGACGCAGCAGGCCCTTACTGTCCGTAGACACCTTTGGGCAGGAGGGGTCTGCCCCAGAGTGGGGGATGGGTTTCCTCCCTTTGAGGCCAGGAACTCATCCCCTTGAAGGGAAAGGAGGGGCAGCTGGACTCTGTTCCCACTTTCTACCCGTGTTACCAGTGGAGAAACAGGCTCAGGTGCTCAGCCAGGGGTCGCACAGCGAGATGGGCAAGGATCCAGGCCTCCTGCCCCAGCTCAGGGTTCTGTCAAGCTGGGAGCTGCCCCAAGAACAGGGAAGAGTCTGTCACAAACCCCTCAGGGGTCCAGAGCAAATGCACAAACCCGAGCTGGACACACGGGGGCAGAGCAGAGGCCCCCACTCAGCCTGAGCTCTGTACTCTTACGCTGCAGCTCCGAGACCCTCAAGGAGGGAAAGCCACTGGCATCCCTGAGGGCCCACAGGACCCCAACCTGGGGTCAGGCTTTATTCACATTGGCTCTCCAGGGTGGAAGGAGGTGAGGGCTCACTTCAGCGTGCCCCTGTGTTCCCCATCCCCAGATGTTCATTGTAGCCGAGGTGAAAGCGGGCGCCTGCCGTTTGCACGAGTTCACCATCTCGGGCACCACATACACTCCAGAGGGCGAAGTGTGAGTGCTGGGCATACTGGGCAAGAGGGCGCGGGTGGTCGTGGTTTCCTGGTGGACCAGGTTACATAGGACAGCTCTGGGAGTTATCAATGAGTGCGTCCTCCTGGAGGCGGGACCAAAAGGCTGGCCACCTCCCAGGGGCGGGGCTAAGGTCCTTTTACTAACCTCCTGGTTGGTCAGGCGGCAGGGAGAGCAGCTGGTGCATTGCGGGCAGTTCGATGGGCTGGTGGAGTTGGCGACTATCTGTGCTCTGTGCAACGACTCAGCTCTGGACTACAACGAGGTGAGCCCCTGCTCCCTGTCATGACCTCTCTGGTGTCCAGGCTCCCAGGACGGACCCTTCTTTCAGAGCCTCAAAGCTCCCAGGGTTGGTGGTTCCTGCCCCTTGGAGTACCACACCCCAGGAGCACTGCCACCCCTGCCCACCCTCCGCTGCCACTCCTCCTTTTTCATCTGACTGGCGTCTGAACTGGGCACTGGGGCTCTTGACTGTAATGTAAGGGGCTCAAGGGCCTGAGGGAAGAGATGTGCGGTGTAGGACTCACAAGGGGGTTTAAAGCGTAAGGCGCAGCCCAGAAAAGGCCACCGGCTGTAACAGCCTGATGTGAGTTAGGCATTGAATGCTCTTCCCTGTGGCTGAAGCAGGAGGAAGCTCCTCTCTGAGGGGAAGGACTGACCTGGCCACACCAAGTCAGGCCCAATGCCAGACTGAGGGCAGTAGACAGCCACTGGAGGGTTTTAAGCCGTGAGTGATACGGTCAGATTTACATTTACAAAAGACCGCCCAGGCTTCTGTGTGACGGACAGAACAGACAGGGCAAGACTGGAGCCAGGGAGCCCTGTGTGGTCATCCAGAGAGAGGCTGGCTGAGTCCTGCTCAGGGAGCTGGGATAAGGCATAGGTTGAAGAAAGACTTAGGAGCCCAAATCCTGGGACTTGGTGACTGGTTAGGTGAGAGAGGGTGAGGGTCAGGGTAGCTTCTGTTTGCTGCCCGGCTGAGACTATTACTAACTAAAGTGGCAAATGTAGGGAGAGAGGTGGCCTGAGGGTCCCCAGGGGTAAAAGTCCAACAGGCAGCGAGTGGACATGTGGGCTTGGAGTCTAGGAGAGAGGTTGCAGCTAGTCTGGGCACTGGCAGTCATGAGCCTGTGAAAGGCGGAGGCAGGGGGCAGAGGAGGCCTCGGGGAGAGAGGGTGGGAGGGAAGGAGTGAGGCCCTGACAGCAGCGTTTAGAAAGAGGAACCTGGCAAGGAAGACTGACAAGGAGCCAGCAGAGAGCAAGGCAGAGGGCAGGTAGCGCATAGCCATTGGTGTCGGGAGAAGGGAGGGTCAGAGGGGAAGGTAAGCATCAGTGCCAGACACCAGCCAGACCCCAGGTCAGCTGGGCTGAGAAGGGCCCACGGGCCTGGAGCAAAAGAGGTTGCGGGGAACTGGCAGAGGGAGCTCCAGGGGGCAGGGAACGAGTGGGAGGTGAGGCTGCATGCCCTTCTGGAAGCTGCCTTGCCCCTCATTCCCTGTACTCTGGGCCCCACCAGGCCAAGGGTGTGTATGAGAAGGTGGGAGAGGCCACGGAGACAGCCCTGACTTGCCTGGTGGAGAAGATGAACGTGTTCAACACCGACCTCCAGGCCCTGTCCCGGGTGGAGCGAGCTGGTGCCTGCAACTCGGTGAGTAGGGTGAGGGGCTCAGGCCACAGGCTGCGTGGCTGGGCCTTCTGGGGCATCTGGAGAAGAGAGAGAGGAGAATGAAGCCTTGGGAGGCTTCTGGAAGGAGGAAGGACCTCAGACCCTAGTAAGACTTGGCTAGGGAGAAGAGAAAAGAAAGGAAAAGGCTGAGTGTGGTCAGTGACTTGGATTTGGGAAATGCACGGCATGGTCAGGAAATGGCAACTTTTTGGCATTTCGGGGACTGGAGAGGGAGATAGAGGCCTCGGATGCCAGGGCCAGAGAAGGATAGACACCATTCTGCAGGGAGGAAGAGTCTTTTCATGGGGCCGGGAGGCTGGTGAGAAAGCCGTGAGAGCTGCTGGCTCTGCCCCTCACACCCTAACCCACCTGGGCCCTGCAGGTCATCAAGCAGCTGATGCGGAAGGAGTTCACCCTGGAGTTCTCGCGAGACCGGAAGTCCATGTCCGTGTACTGCACGCCTACCCGCCCTGGCCTGGGTGCCCAGGGCAGCAAGATGTTTGTGAAGGTGGGACCTGCCTACCTAGGGTCCTGGGGGACCTGGTCTCCAGCCAGAGTCTGCGGCTGTGGGAGACAAAGGGAGGTGTGAGGCCCACGGTCAAAGCAATGCATCCAGAAGGAGGGTGGTCAGCCTGCCATGGGGAACTGGGAGCAGGACCCAGGGCTGGTGGAGATCAAGCCAGGGTCAGAGGCCGAGGCCTGCCCCTCGCCACGGCCCCAGCTCTGGGCTGACAGGCACTGCCTTGCCCCATGACCTTGGGGTCACCCATGATCCTCCATGCGGCTTGGTCTCCCCATCTGAACAGCAGGGTCAGGCTAAAATGTCTCAAAAGCCCTTAGCCTCTGACTGGGGGTGCTGAGGTGGTTGGTACCCGTCTTTGGTGCTTCGTGTTCCTTCCCAGAGAGGAAAGGAATCAGCCCCGTCCAGACCTCTGCCCACAACACCTCCTGCTGCTTTGGAACCGGAAGTAGGAATCACAGCCCTAACTTCACCCCGCAATGGAGGTTTTGGCCCCTTTCGAAATGAAAAGGCTTCTGTCTGGGAAGCTTGAAAATGTAACAATGCCCTTTGGGGAGAAAAAGAAGGTACTGATGGAATATGTTCAGAGGCTATTCCCAGGCGTGGGGTGATGGTCCGAGGTGAGACCTTGAGGCCACTGAGGAGTTTGTCACCCCCAAGACCACCTTCCCAAGAGCCACGCCCACCACACCCTCTGCATGGCTCTATTTCTGGTCCGCAAGCAGGGCTCAGCCTGCCTTCCGCTGCTGATCCCTCTACAGAATTGGGATCCTGGTAGCACCAGGCTGGCAGGGAGGCCGGGCCTGCAGGAGGGCTGTCATTCCCACCCCACCCCCATAATAATCTAGCAGGCCTTCTCAGCTGCTGACGGGCTGGTGGGAGGAGGGTGCCGCCCCCAGGGTGGCCAGGACCCGCTCCCCTTTTCCCTTTGGGTTTTCTCACAGTGGGGCCCACTTGGTTCCGACTCTGGGCTTTCAAAGAATGGATCCTGGCCCATGCCTTGCTGTGCGTCCCCTTCAGTGGCCTTCCTCTACACCCGGGCCTCAGTTTCCTCAATTGGGCAGGAGGGAGAGGAGGGGTCCTGGGTGACCAGTTGCCTCTCTCCTCCCCAACATTGCAGGGGGCTCCTGAGAGTGTGATTGAGCGCTGTAGCTCAGTCCGCGTGGGGAACTGCACAGTACCCCTGAACACCACCTCCAGGGAGCAGATTCTGGCCAAGATCCGGGATTGGGGCTCAGGCTCAGACACGCTGCGCTGCCTGGCACTGGCTACCCGGGATGTGCCCCCGAAGAAGGAAGACATGCAGCTGGACGACTGCAGCAAGTTTGTGCAGTATGAGGTAGGTGCAGGGCCCCAGGTCTGGGAGCCGTGTGTTTGCCTGCAGCAGCTGGGCAGGTGGCAGGTTGAGGATGGGCCCAGGCCCCACGTGCATCTGCCCCCTCCCTACAGACGGACCTGACTTTCGTGGGCTGCGTGGGCATGTTGGACCCTCCGAGGCCTGAGGTGGCTGCCTGCATCGCACGCTGCCACCAGGCGGGCATCCGTGTGGTCATGATCACAGGGGACAACAAAGGCACGGCCGTGGCTATCTGCCGTCGGCTTGGCATCTTCAAGGACACGGAGGATGTGGCGGGCAAGGCCTACACGGGCCGTGAGTTCGATGACCTCAGCCCCCAGCAGCAGCGCCACGCCTGCCTCACCGCGCGCTGCTTTGCCCGTGTGGAACCTGCACACAAGTCCCGAATTGTGGAGAACCTACAATCCTTTAATGAGATCACTGCCATGGTGAGGCCACAAGACGAGCCTGGGGGAGGTGGTGAGGAGTGTGGGCAGCGCTTGCCACAGGGCTTGGAAAGAAAGAGCAGCCTGTGCAGCCCCGGCTTCTGCTTCATTCTTATTTTTTCCAGCATTCTGTTACAAAAACATTCAAACACAAAGAGAAATTGAAATACTTTTCGAGTGAGTGCTTGTATGTCCACCATCTAGATTCTACAAACATTTTATTATACTTTCTTTATCACATACCTATCCCATCTGTCCATCCTCATTCCATCTTTTCTTAAATGCATTTCAAAGTAAGTTGTAGATATCAGTATACTTCATGTACTCTAGAAAGCAGTATTTGTGGCTCTATTTTTTTTTTCAAAGGTTTTTTTTTTATTGGGGAGTTGGGGGGATGGGAACAGTGCTGGGGAATTGGGGGAAAGGGAACAGACAAGTTGCTGTCGTTTTGTTCTTCAGTCTAGTTGTGGAGAACGGTGCTTCACTGGCCCATGTTGGCACCATCATTGCGCTCTTCCCCAGGCGAGGCAGATCAGTCGCCGGCTTCTGGACGGCCGCTCACAGCGGCTGCTGGCTACACACGGTAGCCCATGGCAACCCACTGCAGCAGGGGCTGCAGCCTACGCCGTCGCCGGCGACTCATGGCAGCCCAGCTCCAGGTTGAGCTGTTGTTCACCATCTTAGCTGTGGAGGGCAGTGTCACTGGCCCTCATATGTGGGATCCGAACCGGGGCCCTCTGGCGTCCCAAGCCAGTTCTTAACCATCTCGCCACTCGGCTGGCCCCTGTGGCTCTGTTATTTTTCCTGTTTGAGGTAAAGCTTGCATGCAATGAAATGCACAAGCTTCAAGCATGCCATTTATTTGATGAGTTCTGATAAATGCACACACCTGTGTCACCCAAATCCTTATCAAGATAGGGAACTTTACCATCAACCCATGAAGTTCCCTCATGCTTCTGTCCCATCAGGCCCCTCTCCCACAACAGGCAATTGCTGTTCTGTTTTTCTCCATCAAAGATACTTTTGCCTGTCCTAGATTTTCATATGAATGGAATCATACGCTATCTACTCTTTCATGTCTGGTTTCTTTCTTTGGAGATTTATCCATGTTGTGTGGGTAACAGTTGATGATTGCTTTTTTTATTGTAGAGTAACATTCCATTGTGTGAATATGCCACAGTTTATTTATCTGTTTACCTGTGGATGGACATTTGGTTTGGGCCCAGCTTTTGTTCTGTCTCATTCTTGATTGCTGACCTGTTCGTCAACACTGATCTGATTTTTGACCTAGACCTCAACCCTGACCTGGCCTCTGTTATTAATGTGACCTCCAAGCTAACCCAATCCTTTACCTTCACCTTAATTCTGACCTATGGCTCAGCCTTGACCTAGATAATGAACTAGGCACCAACCTTGACTTGACTACAACTAAAACCTTGTTCTTGAACTTATTTTTTGACCTTCACACAAAAGGTCCCTGATCTTGATCTTGAGCATCTTAGTCTGATTCTTTACTTTGAGCTCAGCCTTGATATGGGTTCTAGTTTTGACTTGGACCCTGACCTGATCCCTGACATTGATCTTGATCCCTCTAGCCTAATACTTTGTTACCTCAACTTTGATCTGGTTTCCAGTCTTGACCTTGACTAAACTCCAACTTCAACCATGACATCACTCCTGATATGGACCATAGCCTTGACTTGGCTTCTGACTTTGACTTGACCTTGATTTTTAATGCTGAGCCTGAGTCCAGTCTTGACCCTGACCTTGGCTCCAGCCTTCACCTTGACTACAACACCTAACCTGGCTGTTGATTGACCTGGGCCACAACCTTGACCTCATTCCTGACTTAACCTTAACTTTGTCCTTAACATCAATTCACATCCAACATGAATTTCATCCCCACCCTCATCATTGACCCACTCTTATACCCACTCCCACTTCACCATCTTCTCTGACCTTAGAGAAGACCAGATCTTTTCCCCAACTCTGTCCTTGTTTGCACTTCTTGCCTTCTCTTTAGCCTCATCCCTACAGTTTCTAAGCTCATGGCCTCACTATTTGTTCTGTCCAACTGTCTGCTTCCTCGGGGACATCCCCTAAACTTGGGAATAGGCTGAGTTGAGGGGAGTCGGGGAGGTGGAAGGGATGTTTCTCAGGTGTGAACCTCCCTAACCTGGCCTCCAGACTGGAGACGGGGTGAACGATGCTCCGGCCCTGAAGAAAGCAGAAATTGGCATTGCCATGGGCTCCGGCACAGCCGTGGCCAAGTCAGCAGCAGAGATGGTACTGTCAGATGACAACTTTGCCTCCATTGTGGCTGCGGTGGAGGAGGGCCGGGCCATCTACAGCAACATGAAGCAATTCATCCGCTACCTCATCTCCTCCAATGTCGGCGAAGTCGTGTGGTGAGGCCCTGCGTTCTCTCCTCCTGGTCCTCTGGACCAGCTCTGTGTCCTTGAGACCAGGGAAATGCCTGTTCCTGGGATGGGGCTGCAGGGATGAAGGGACATGTGCCCTGCCCTGGCGGAGACCTTCCAGGGTCCTACCTCAGATGGGCTAGGACAGGATACCTTGTCATTTTCCAGGGGCCCTGGGGCACCCCAGCCCCCAAGGAGGTACCTGAAAAGTCTCCTGTTATCTCTCCAGCCGTAACCTTCCCATTTTAGATTCACGCAAGATGGGAGAACTAGCCCCACCTTTGGGCAGCAATGTGTTCGTGTGTGTCCATGTCATGTGCACACAGTTATGTGTGCACATGGTGTGTGTGCCTGAGCAAGACTCTGTGTGTTTGTGTGTGTGTGTGTGTGTGTGCGCGCGCACGTGTGTGCGCACGCGCGCGTGTGTGTGTGTGCATGCATGCATTGTGCTCTCGTGCAACTATGGGCATGAGTACAGGCGCAGGATTTGTGGAGGTGTGCAATTGTGTACACACTTCGGTTTGCATGTGAGAGATGCCTGGGGGGAATGGTGAGCACATGTTTGCCTAGACACATGTGAATTCTGCATCTCTATACCTCAGGGCAAACGTGTAGGTGTTTGTGGGATTGTGTGGCCTGTGCTAGGTTTTTGCTCATGTCTGTTCACAGTGTATATTCAGGCATATGTGTCCACATATGTGTGTGCCTTAAAGAGGACTATGTCCTAAACAGGAGAGGCCTAAAGAGCAGATAGGTCCGGGCTCGAGAGCTGACACTGAGGGAGATAGGGGTCGCCCAGTGTGAGGCAGAGCTGTGTACACACACCTCTCACTCATGCTCACACATCAGAACTAGCAGAGCAAGGTGGAGCTGCTGAGGAGGCAATGGGTGGGCTCCCCGGTTTGACATATGAGCAGGAGCCGGACCCTGCGTTTGCAGGAGCTGGAGCCTTTGATTCTGGTTCCAGCATCTTCCTCACGGCCATTCTGGGCCTGCCAGAAGCCCTGATCCCCGTGCAGCTGCTCTGGGTGAACCTGGTGACAGATGGCCTACCTGCCACGGCCCTGGGCTTCAACCCGCCAGACCTGGACATCATGGAGAAGCTGCCTCGGAACCCTCGTGAGGCCCTCATCAGTGGTTGGCTCTTTTTCCGATATCTGGCTATTGGAGGTAAGTGGGGGGGCGGGGCTCCAGCCCTCAGCTGGGTTCCAGTAGTTTCCTAAGACTCTGTATCAGTTAGGCTTGCAAACTACAGATAGTATGACTCAGCCTGGCTTATGCCAAAAGAAACTGTGTGGCTTATCTCACTGAAGAGATTAGCGCATGCCTCAGGCATGGCTAGATAGAGCCTCAGACAGTATCATAGGCATATTTTGGCTCTGCCTCAGCTCCATTCTCAGGCTGGTGCCTCTTGGGGTGGCTGTTGCGGCTGCAGCCCTCGTGTTTACTCCATTACAACCCCAGATTCAACAGAAGAGAGAGCCTTTTATCACACTACTCCTTCCATAGCTTGATAAAAGTCTCAGGCCGCTTCTCATTGGCCCAGATTGGGTTACCTGCTTTTCTCCCTAGCCAATCACTGTGACCAGGGGTGTGACAGATGCTGGTTGCCAGGCAGGGCCCACCACTGGCACTGAGGGTTGGTGCCTGCAAACCACATGACTCAGAGAGGGAGAGGATGGTTCCCTGACAAAAATTCAGGGAGTTATTAGGAAGAGGAAATGGATACTAGAAAACCACAGTCGTCCACTATAGCTGGTTTCCTTCTGCCCTCCCTGCAGTGTACGTTGGCCTGGCCACAGTGGCTGCCGCCACCTGGTGGTTCCTGTACGACGCCGAGGGACCGCACATCACCTTCTACCAGCTGGTGAGCAAGTGACAGCCAGGGAGCCTATTGGGGTAGAACTCAGCTGGTTGTTAGAGTTCCAGGGGAAAGGGGCCCAGAATCCCACGGTTGGCTAGCGGCTATCCCTCCCCGCCCCCGTTCACATATGTAGACATCCCCCACCTAAGGAGCCAAGCTCAGAAGCCACAGGAAACCTAGAGAGAGCAGCATAGCCCCCGAGCCAGAGAAGAGGCTGTTCCCTCTCCCAGTCATTTAATTAGGGGGGACCATGGGGCATAACTGCCCACAAGTGTCTTATCTTTACTGGGGAACCCCCCACAATGTTGAAGACTCAGAGATAGGAAGCCCTAAATGGTAGAACTTGAGGCAGAGGGTCATACTGAGGAAATCGGATTTGCCAGGCGCCCCACAGACCAACTGACCTCTTGAAGTCACCTGGCTGACAGGTGCCCACCATGGGACCATCTTAGCTTAGCACAGCTCTGGAAGCAAGCAAGGAGACCCCTCAGCCACTGCCTGTCAGCCTGCCCCTCTGTCTGAGCAGCCAGCGCATTTCCTCTGCTTAAAAGAACCTTCATGACACTTCTGGCAAAGCCAGTTGTGGTTTTCTCGTTTAGAGCCAAGAGCTACAGGGACGCAAGGTCTTCTTCCTCTGAGTGTGCCTGCCTTTGCTATTAGATAGGAGAGCTCCACGGAGGGGCCCTGACTTCCTGCCCCATCCCAGGGAGTGTCGGGGGACCACCGTGAGGGCAGCGTGAGGGCTAGGCTACCGCCACTGGCCATCCTCCCTGGGGAGGCTGTGATTTTAGGGGCTCTGCAGCATTATTCACATCTTGGTCGAGGCAGCCCAGGGATGCTTTCCTAGTACCTACCAGCCCTCAAGCACAGGGGGCTGTCCTTTCTGGCAGCACTGCAGAGCATGGCCCCAGCTCATTCCAGAGGCTGGTGCCCCTAGCCCTGGGCAGAAGGCTCAGGCCAGCCTCAGGCACCTCTGCTCATTTAGTGCTGGTGGGAGCCACAGGGTAGAGATGCGGCTGTGCTGACCATCCCGCAGCTGCCTTCTACCAGCCTCATCTCTATTGCCGTCCTTTATACTGCGGATCCCAAATCTCCAAGGACCTACCCTCACCACCAACCTCCCCCCACCCCCCGACCCTTCTTCTGAGCCCAGCCCCACATATGCAGCTGGCCACCTTCTCTGGGATGTCCCACAGGCCCATTGCACTCACCAAGTCCAAAGTCAAATCTATCACCTTCCCCCAGATAACCCCTCTCCTCCGTCCCCATCTCAGTCCCACTGCCTGCCTGTTACCTAAGCCAGACACCTGGGGGTCATGCCAGGCACATACCCCATGCCCACTACCATTCAGTCCCGTCTTCTTGTTGCCACCTTCCCAAAGGTCCTCAGGTCATCCCATTTCTCATTTATTCACTTGGCCAAGTAAATGGCTATCAGGCACCGACTGTGTACCAGGCACAAATCACTAGGGCTCTGGCAGTGACTGAGCAGGCAGAGAGCTTCCAGTCTGGTGGGGGAGAGCCATGGACATGGGCATCCACATATCATGGGGAGAAGTGCTTCAGCAGAAAAAAGGCCGTGGGACTCAGGGTGGTCAGGGCTTAGACTGGAAGTAGAACTTTCAGCTCCAGTTGGAATTTCAGGAGAGGAGCCCAGAGCCCCATGGTTCCTGGAATAAGCTGCCAAAAAGCAGCAGGGTGGTTAGGAGCACAGAGCCTGGATCCAAACTGCCCAGGTTCATACCCTCGTTCTGCCACGTGCTAGCTGTGTGACTTTAGACAGGTTACTTAACCTCTCTGTTGGTTTCCTCATCTGTAAAATGGGTCATGGCCCCTACCGCATAGAGCTAAGAGGGTTAACTGAGTCCTTGCTTAGGCCAACACCTGGCACATAGCATGAGCTATACATAAGTATCGATTACGTTTATAAAACCCAGAGGGGCCTTGCAGGATAAGGTAAATCGGAAATCGCAGGGGAGGCAAAGGGAAAGAGTAGGCAGAACAATGGCTTCACCCAAAGAAACAGGCCCCCACTTCCACAGGGGCTCACGAACCCATGAGACAGAAGTTCCAGCCCTGAGCACCTTCTAATATTTTTGGAGGCCTCACGGTGACCCCTGACATGGGATATAATGCCTGCGTGGCAGGTACTCACTGGTGAAACCCAGAAGGTCTGAACAGGGCAGGGTATTTATGGGAAGAGCAACAGATCTGTTGAAACATCTTGATGGAGTCCGGTTCAGATTTCTTCCCTGTGCCCAGGCACGAGGACCTAAACAAGCACGTGCCCGAGTGGGACGTGTGTGCACTGCCTGTGTGTGTACGTGGATGCATAGGCCATTGAGATCTGGGACGTGGGGCCCAACGGCAGTGGCACAACTACCAGGAACACTGAGTGGGTTCAAAGTTTAGGACATTTTCTTTGCTCTATGATCAGTGCCCAATAAAAACATGTGCACTTGTCCCAAATCCTAGAGCTTGGTTTTGGGAGAAAAATCTCACTGTTGATTTAAATCCCATCTTTCTGTTAAAATAAGAAATCTAGCCAAGCTGTAGTTTTTTAAAATAATTTTCCATCCTGCATGAGAGAGAAGAGGAAAGTGCCAACAGCCCCTCCTGGCTGACAGTCACCCACAGTGACGCAGTGTGGGAAAATGAAGGTATTTACCAGACAGACAGCCGTTTGACAGATTTCTCTTTGAGGGTTATTTTCACAACATGTGGTTCCAGTTTCTAAACCCTTAGCTTTAAAGATCTCTGAGTTCAGATGAGACTCCAGAGTTCAGATTTATGTCCCGGGACAACAGAGCTGTGGAACGGTTATGCGTGTTCACACACTCCTCCTGTGATGTGGAAGAGAACCAGACAGAAGTTCTCATGCATGGCCTCTGGTCAGCATCTTGTCACAGCCAACTCTGGGAGCGAGGTTTGGGAGCAAGAAGGAAATTCCCCTGGGGCTGCCGGAGCGGGAGCCACTTCCTTAGCAAGCCAACCACGAGAGCTTCTGGTTAGTTGTGAAGAAGTTGTGTAGCACGCCTGTGCCTGGCAATTCATTAGCTCATGTCATAAGCAAAAGACGGTACTGGCAGAGTTCAATTTCAGTGCAGAAATGGAAGGAGGCATGAATAGAAACTAATTTAATAACTGAGTAGGGCAGCTGTAGCCTTCATCTTCTGCCCACCAAAGGTGAATTGTATTCAAGCATAATTTTGCTTATTGGTTTTCATATGCATTTACTCTTTCAGTGATCTCAGTTAATCACCATCCCTACCCCTGCACCTCCAATACTTAGCCTACCCCCACCCCCACCCCTGTGCACCTTTAGGATAAATCCTGGACCCTCCCCTTGATCCCAGGGCTCCCGGCCGTCCTCCCCAGCCTAATACCAGCTGCTCTCCTATCCCACCATAACCCTGCCCCTGAACGGTCTTCCCTTCTCCCTGGCACAGTGCAGGCCACCTGCCCCCAATCCTGGGTGAGCACCCCTCCCTCCGCCCACCCCATGGCAGTGCTTTGCTCACTATTTATATTGGGTCCTCAGATGTGGGCCAAGGGCGGAGTGAGGTTTCCCTTTTCCCACACACCAGTCGCTCCTCTGACCGCTGTTCTCCCTGACCCCACCTGACCCTACCACGGTGCCCTCAGAGGAACTTCCTGAAGTGCTCCGAGGACAACCCACTCTTTGCCGGCATTGATTGTGAGGTTTTCGAGTCACGCTTCCCCACGACCATGGCCTTGTCTGTGCTGGTGACCATCGAAATGTGCAACGCCCTCAACAGGTGGGCTGGGCAAAAGGGCCTGGAGCTGGGGGTGACGGGGTGGGGCTGAGAGTCAGGTGGGCTGCAGAATTTGGGTCATAGGTGTCCAGAATTGTGATCTGAGAGTCAGATATCCAGGATTGGGGTCAAGGGGTCCAGGATTGGGGTCTGAGGATCAGGGGTCCTGGCTTGAGATCTGAGAGTCAGTGGGGCCAGAATTGGGATCCAGGGGACCAAACGGGGCCAAGATTGGGGTCTGATAAAATAGAGGGGCCAGGATCAGGACTGAGGGACAGAAATGGGGCTAAGACCCAGGACAGGCCCCTGGGGGCTGAGTGGGCAGCAGTGACACGCCCCTTCTGGGTGCTCTGGCCTCCCAGAAGTGCTCCAGCCCGTAGGTCCAATTAGGGAAATTCTGAGGCTCAGGCCACCACCTGCACCTCCGTATGGAGGGTGGATGGGTGCCTACAGCAGGGCCTGTCTGCATCCTGGCCCAAGGTGAGTGCCCTGTGCCCTTGGCAGTGTCTCGGAGAACCAGTCCCTGCTGCGGATGCCGCCCTGGCTGAACCCCTGGCTGCTGGCGGCCGTGGCCATGTCCATGGCTCTGCACTTCTTCATCCTGCTGGTGCCACCGCTGCCTGTGAGTCTCCTGCCCGCCACACTCACCTTCTCTGGCTCCTAGGATGACAGGGTCCAAATCCTCTGGCGTATGTCCCAGGGCTGGTTGCCGGGCCTTTCTGAGTCCCCCCTGCAATAGGAACCCCTGGAGGACTGGGAGAGGCAGGCGGGGGTGCTGAGGTGCTGACTTCACGCAGCCTGTGCACGGACCTGGGGCAGCAACCATCCGCCAGATGTGTTCCCACCTTTGGGAGCCCCCAGACTTGGGGAACAGAAGAAGTGGGGACATCTCCCAAGGCTGGGGCAGGAGGCGATTATGTTCTTTCCCGGTGCAGAACCCCTCCCACTTCCCAACAGGACAGATGGGATTTGGTCCCGTGAGTTAGGGCTGGGGAGGGCACTTCAGGCAGAGGAAAGGGGGTGGATAAAGATCTAGAGGTGGGACCTAAAGGGGCTTCTTGGACGTGTTCATGAAGAGTCCATTGAAGCCTGGGCAGTCCTTCCTTTAACCAAACCTCCCCCACCAGCTCATCTTCCAGGTGACTCCACTGAGCGGGCACCAGTGGGTGGTGGTGCTCCAGATATCTCTGCCTGTCATCCTGCTTGATGAGGCCCTCAAGTACCTATCCCGGAACCACATAGATGGTGAGTGGGAGGCCCCAGCCCCTCCTGCCCTGCCTGCCTCTGCTCCCAGGCTGCAGAGGGCCGGGCCAGTGTCAGTACCCCCATCTGTATGTGGGGAGGTGCTCTTGGGTCATCAAGTGGAGGGCGTGAAGGGGCTCTGGTGCCTGGGACCTGAGGTGTCTGCAAGGGTCGGGGCCCTGGGCTCACTGGTCAGCCAGCAGGAGCGCTGCTCAGAGCCACTCTGCCTCGATGTCCTCACTGCCACCAGCTCTGCACAGCCAGGCTCACTGGGCCCTGCCCTCTGATTTCTCTGAACTTGGCCTGTCTTTATCCAGGCATCCTCAGGACAGCCTCCCAGGCCTCCTAGACCCCAGACCATACCCGGTTGGCCTCTCGTGTCACCTTGTGGGAGAGTGGAGGGGCGGTTCTCTGTTTCTGAGTTCACAGCTCTGGGTCTGCCTTAACCCAGAACGGAGGCCAAAATGGCAGGGGTTGGGGTGGGGGGCGGCGTGTAGAGGAGCAGCCCGGGGCATGGCGTCCATCTCCCTGCCTTTGTCAGGGGGGCCTCAGAAGGTGGGCGATTCCGCCGTGCAGTGTCGTTCTCACTGTGAGAGCTGCCCGGAGAGGGAGGAAGCGGGGACGAGAAACTCTGGTTCCTGGGCATCGGAGCCAAGGCAGTCGCCCTGTGCTCAGGCCACTACAGAAGCCCAGGTTCGGCCCAGCAATGGCTGAGGCCTGTGCTGGGGTAGCTGGGTCCCTGAGAGCCACCTCTGGCAAGAATGTGTCTCGGTCCCAGGGGAGGGTGCCTCGGTGCTATAAATAGATCCCATGCCTGTAATTCCACAGGGACCAAGGCAGTCAATCGTCCCCCATCTCCCACGCTAGCCAGCCCTCCTGGGTGCTGCAAATATTTTATTAAAAAGGCCAAAACAAGTTGTCTTCTCTCTCTCTGGAGAAGCTGGTCCACCACAGGTCTGTCCGGAGGGTGACCTGGCATGTGGGAGTGAGGGGTCCATGATGATGGTGCTCAGCCAAAGCAAAGCCTGTTGGAGCCCACGGGTGCGATAGGGGGAGCCAGAGAAGGCGTTCACCCCGCTTTGTGATTCTTTCTGGCCCACCCTCTGTGGACTCTCCTGGGGAGGTGACGACAGAGAAATGGGTCTGTTTACTGAAAGTCCACCCATGGGAGCCCAAGGAATCCGCAGCTCTGGCTGAAGCACAGGAGTGGTCTACCAGGAAACGCCCTGGCCAGCCTTGACCACACTGACCCACCTGTGAAGCCAGGCCTCCTGGGGACATGGGCAGCTTCTCTGTCTCCTTCAAGAGCCTTCCCTAAGTGGCCACAGCTGCCAAGGGGTTCAGCACATTTTCTTGAGAAAACTTGAAAGTGAGAAAATTTCTCATCCGATGAGGAGAGCCTGTGTCTTGGGCACTGTCCAGCACTGGCTGCTGGACAGTAGAGGATTCCAGGCCTGGGCGGAGGGAGCGGGCCCCTAGCAAGATGGGGCAGGTTGTAAGGGCTAGGGCTGGGGAGAGGGTGGTTTCTAGAAGAGGCGGGGTTTGAGTGGAGGTTTGAGAAGGGAGAATGAGTGTGGCTTGGCATCTCCAGTGGGGCCAGGACTTGGTGTGCAGGGTAGAGAGGTGAGGCAAGGGCCTCAAATGCCAAGGTAAGGACCCTGGACATTATCCTCAGAGCAGCGGGAGCCCCAGAATGCTGGAAGCATGGGAGGGACTGGGGTGACCATAGAGGACAGATAGGATGAGGTGAGACCGGAGGCAGAGAGGCTGGCGAGCTGCGTTGAGCTGGTGAGGGGCGGAGCCACTGAGTCCTGGCCCAGCGTGAGCTAGTCCCAGGCAACATCTCCACTTCTGCCATTAACCTGAGATGTTGACCATGGTCCCAGAGAGATTTGACTTTAAAGGGTGGTGCCCTGCTGTCGCTGGAAGCCCAGACAACTCTGCCCTGTGCGGCTGCAGTCCCTCGGGCCTCCTAAAGCCAGACGGGGCGGGGGTGAGAGAAGGGACCCTGTTATGTTCCCAAGCCAGTTTGGTGGCCTTTTAGGGAAGTTTTGCTGAGGCCTGATGCTCGTGGCTTCCCTGTGATTTATGAGGGATGTGTCCTGGCGAGAATTGTGGATGCTGGGTCAGTACCGGGGGCTTAGGGGGATCCTCTTGTCCCACCTCTTGGCTCTCCCAGGTGTGACTGAGCAGCTGTCAGGCAGAGACCTGTGAGCTGCGCTGAGGGAGAGGAGAGAAGTCCTGGAGAAGCGGAGTGGGGACAGATCTGGGAGGGCCCAGGATACCAGGCAGGCTTTCGCTTCATTCTGAGTGGAGTGGGGAGCCATCAAAGGGGATGATGTGCTGGTTTTGTAGTGTAATGCCGGAAGGAAGGGCGCTGGTGAGGTAAGATGGAGGCCGAGGGCAGGGCTGAGAGGCCTTGGGACCTGGGGGCAGCGGAAAAACAGACGAGCTCAGGAGATGTAAGTGGTGAAATCCGCAGGCTTGGGTATGTGAGATGGGGAGGGGTCAAGGATGCCATGATTTCTGGATCTCATGGTGGTTCTTCAAACTAAAAACAAGAGTAGACTATGCATTGGGGTGGGCTGGGGGGTTGATGGAACACATGGAGTACAGGAGGCCCAGGGAACATCCAGGGGAATGTGTCCAGGTAGCAGCTGACTACGTGGGACTGCAGCTCGGGAGATGCAGAGAGGCTGGGGATCGACTGAGTGTAACCGTGGGAGACTGGGCTGTCCTGGGAGACATGAAAGATAGAAGGGCCAGAAGGAGCCAGCCTGGATGTATGTTCCCCTCATACATCATTATATACTCTCGGTTTTTCTTCCAGAAGAAAAGGACCGCAAGTGAGTGCTGGGAACAGAGTGGAATCTCCGGCGTGTGCCTCAGACTGACGGAGCCCAAGCATTTGCCCCACTCCTCACCCTGCTACCACGCTCACCTGCTTGCTCAACCGGGCCCTACTGAGGTTGGAATGGCCACCCTCAGGCCCGGTCCCGAGGTCTCTGTCCCCACTTCCATCTGTCTAGGGGCTCTGTACTTCATGTCTCTGGGACTCTCGTGGGAAATTCATGTCTGAAGCTCTGGTCTGGGAGGGGCCTGCCCAGAAGCCAGAGTTGGCAGCCCATCTAGAGATGCAGAGCCCGATGCCCTCAAACCCATGAGCACACTCTGGAGCCTGCTCCCACTTAATTGCAGGCCGGGTATTTCCTTGGTAACCAGTGCTTCCTTACGGACGGAAGTCTCTTGGAGACCGCACTCTCCAGCTCTGATCTCTTGCTTAGAGCCTGGTCTGGAGCCTGGTCAGCTGGAAGTGGAAGGGGTGACATCTGGGCCCAGTTGTGCACAGCAAGGGCAGGCAGTCCCCCCTCTCCCCCCCTCCCACCCTTATTTCCACAAAGTTGGCTCATGAGTGCTTGAGCCTCTTTCTGTTTATGTGTGCAGGGAGTTGAAGGGTCAGGGAGAGGGACACAGGAGTGGGGGAAGGGGCCGGGCAAGGACCCCCTTTCCCTGCCCGCCTGCCTCTGCTTGGCTCACTCCTGGACTGTTTCTGTCCTAAGCAAACGAGACAGATAAGCCCCCTCAGTGCTGCCTGGTATGCCAGGCAGAGGAGCCAGATTTGCCCTCCGTGTGCCTGGCGCCTGGAACCCTAGACATCCTTGGGTCCCTGACCACTGTGCCCTCCCACCTGAACCCCATGCTCAGTCATCCTGAGGTCTGCCCAGCTGAGTCATTCTGAGTCCCTGGACTCTTGGCCTCATTCTTTGCCCCCAAACCCACACACCCATGAGCTGAAAGGATGTCACCCAGCATGGCTAGTTACACAAGCGCATTTCCTCTCCCTCCCTCCTTGCTGGAGGAACGTGTGTCCATTTGGGTCATGTGAGATGATAGGAAAAGAGCGTTTGATGGACAGAAATGTTCTCTTAACTCGGCTTTTGCCCCTTTGGCAAAAATTAGTTGTAGAAGAAAGCAGTGAGTAAATGACTGTGTCCTCACCCTTCCTACAGATCGTACAAAGCAAGTATTTTATATGTAAATCAAGACTCACACCCCTGCCCTGGTCCCCAGAATCGAAGCCCCTCAGCCTGCTTTGCAGATACATGGGCTCCAGGTTCTGTGGCCCCCCTCCCCGACCCCTGCTCCCTCTTCTGGCTTGCAGGTTCTGGAGGGGCTGTGAGAGAAGCGGAGTTGGGTGGGGTTCCCCTGGTGCCTGCAGACATTTTCTGCTTTCCTGCTGGGGAAAGGGAGGTCTTAGCAGGAGGGGGTGGGGGCAGGACCCTGTACCCACCTGTTGACATGCAGTTTGGTAAAGAAATAAAGTTTCTGGGTGCCTGGGGCACTGGAGGACCATCAGCGTCTGTGTTCCTGGAGAGTGGTCCCACCTTCTGCCCGTCTGATGGCTACCTGACCCATCATCACCTGTACTCATCCCCACCCCAGGAAATGTGAGCAAAGGTCTGGGACACCCACATCACCAGCCAGAGATTGTCGTTCCCTGGGACTAGGCGCAGGAGGCACTGACTTACCGAGCCACACACAAATGACAGACTCCACTGCCAGTGCCTTCCGGGGACAGCACTTGACAGTTTGTGCATCTATTCAAAGCCCTTCACACATATTACAATTCACACGTCACCACTGAGGAAACAGGCTGGGAGGGCGCCATGCCTTGGCCTGGAGCCTGAATATCGGGGGCCCTTTGCAACCCATGGAGGAGCCCCCCATCCCTCGCTGTTCTGTGAGTCTCGTGTCTCCCTGAGGTTTCTCTCCTGCTCTGATCCTGTCCCCTCCTTGAACCCCATATGCCATCCACTTTTTGCCCAGCCCCAAATGTACCTCCCCAAGGCTTCCTTCAGCTCACACTGTCCAGGGTTAATGTGAACCCCTGACTCGCCCAGGTGGCCCTGCCCCCTGGGAGCAGGGGCTCTGGGAAGGGACTAGCCATGTCCCCCCATCCCCCTGCTACCCTCTGGAGGGAAGACTCATGAAGGTTTTGTACCTAGTCCTCTAACCAGCTACCCAGGGAAGGGGACGCGGGCCCCGCCCACAGGGCTAGGGGCAGGACTGACCACATAATTTGCAGGGCTCAATGCAAAATGAGAATGTGGAGCCGCTCGTTCAAACCTTAAGAATTTTATAACAATGACAGCAGAGCATTAAACCAAATGCAGGGCCTTTCTAAGCACAGGGCCCCATGCGACTGCATAGGTCACACATCTGTGAAGCCAGCTGTGACCAGAGGAGACAGGGCCGCCCTTAGGAGCTCCCAGGTTTTATTGGGGGTGTGGGGTCAGGATTTGGTGCATAGTTCAGGGATGGGCAGGATTCTCTTTTCTATGAGACCTGTCAGACTGCAAAAGCCTTTCATCCTCATCTCCAGGGTCCTCAACCAGCTCCGTGAGGTGAGCCAGGCAGGTGCTAGGGCTCCATCCTGCAGACAGAGTCGAGGCCATCTGAGAGTCTGACCATCTGGCTGGCCTCATCATGGTGGACAGGCAGGGCGTGGAGCTAAGGTGGGCCCGAAGGGTTTGCATGGAAGGCGGGCTGTCTCGGGCTCCCAGCAGCCGCTGAGGCTCACAGCCAGGCCTGCCCGAGTCCAGCTTCGTCCACCCACAGCGTGGAGCCGGACAGGCCAAGATGGAGTGGCCAAGGTAAACAGAGGTTTCCCACCTCACTGCCGCTCGCCAGGGGCTGGAGGGAATTCCAGGGCAAGCCCCGGCACATTTCCCACTGGCTCGGGGGTGGCAGCTGCCAAAACACCCATGGCCTCCCCCTGAGGCCAGGACTTTGTACTCCCCAGGCCCCCATGCAGCACCCCTTCGGTAGGTGGGACCCTGTTGGGGCCACATTGGGAAAAATGGAGGGTCAAAAACAGAAAATGAAGACATAACATCCACACAGACCTGAACCCAACTATCCATTGCTGCTTTATTCATCGTAGCCCCAAACTGGAAACAATCCAAATGTCCATCAGCGGGAAGGATGAATAAACAGTGGAGTGTCCATAGAACGGAATACGCCTTGGCAATCAAAGGGAACATGCCCATATATGCAGCAGCATGGATGACGCTTAAAAGCCTGGGGCTGAGTAAAAGAAGCCAGACAAAGAGTGCTCATACTGTGTGATTCCACCTCCATGAAGTTCTAGAAAAGGCGAAACAAATCTGTAGCAACAAAGCAGATCACCAGGGGCTGGAGGTTGAAGAAAGGTTGACAGCAGAGGGGCAGGAGGGAACATGGGTGACTGAGGGGGGGTGGGGGGAGAGTTCCATGCATTTGTCAAAGCGCGTCAAACTACCTAAAACGTGTACATTTTATTGTATGCAAATTATACCTCAATACAGTTTGATTTAGAAGGAAACAAAAAAAAAGGAGCCAGAGGAGGTGGGTGGGCAGGCTGCTGCCATGTGGGTATAGAGGTGTCAGCATCCTCAGGAGGAGGGGAGGACATGAGCCTTCTAAGGGGTGCTCACTGCTTGAGGGGTGGGGACCTAGGCCAGCCCAAGGAGTCCCCACATTCTGGGGGCAGTGAGAGGCTGGGGACCAAGAAGAAACAGCCCAAAAGGAGAAGAACCAGGGGCATGGGATGCCTTGGCTATGCTTAAGGAGGAGCGCCAGCCGGTCCTGGCTCATAGTTGGGGGATAGAAAAGGCCAGAGAAGCAAGACAAGATGCGGCAGTGGGGAGAAGCCAACCCCGGGGTCCCTGCTGTGGCCACACCGTGGAGGCCTACTCCCCAACCTCCCCTGGACAATCTCTGTTATGCTGGCCCAGGGCCCTGTTCCAGCCAGTATCCGAGAGGCTGTGTGGCATTGAGTGAGTTCCTGGGACACCAAGGGACACCTAGATGGTTTGGGGGTGTTGGACTGAACCCTACGGGCAGAGGTGTGGTCCTTGTAACCTTGGAACTCTGAGTGGCTAAGGAGACCCATTGGAGTCTGTGCAGACCCCCTTGAGGGCCTGGGCTGGCCCCCAGGATGGACACAAGCTGCCTCCACACGCCACAGAGCCGCTAAATTTAGCCAGACAGAGGAGGCTGTCTTGGGGCCGAGAGCTTGGCAGCCCTGCCTTGTCTCCCTACAAGGCCCGGCCCAGCATCCAAGCCAGCCACCCGGCCTTTGGGCTTATAAGGCAGATCTGGCGACACACAAGTGCTGGAGCCTTGGGGTGGGCTCTGGGCCAGGCTCTCAGACTTTGGGGAGCCTCCTTCCCAGCCACCAACAGACATGAGAGCTACTTGCCGAGTGACCTTGGGCAAGGCACTCAACTTCCAGAACCTCGGTTTTCTGATCTGCAAAATGGGGATTCTAGTACCTACCTCATAGGGCTGTTTTAAAGAAAACCTGCTGAATGTGAAAGCACTGTGTCCCTGTAAACTCTGACCCCTTCCCTGGCCACCCCTGCTCCTCACAATGCCTAGAACAAATACAAGTGTCTGTCCCTGGGATGCTGGAGTTGGGGCCAGTGTTGGAAAAGCACAGGCTCAGATGGAAAGATGCTTCTTAGAACCAGTGAAAGAGACATTGACCCAACCAGGACCTGTCTTACTCCCATGGAGTTATTAGCAAGAAAAGACGTTTCGGAAGAGAAATGCAGTTGCTTTTATTCCTTTTCCTTTGGGGCATGCTTTGGATGTGACGACAACCTGGAATGAGACAGTCCTCCTTGCCAGTCTGTTTTCTGAGTGTCAGGGTCAGAACCAAGGCTGTAACAGGAGCACGTGTGTGTCCGCTAAGCAAGTCTGTCTGAGTGGCTAAGGAGACCCATTGGAGCCTGTGCCCACCCCCTTGAGGACCCCCTTGCAGGCCTGGGCTGGCCTCCAGAATGCACATGGGTCCCCTCCATTCTCCACAGTGCTGCTACATTTAGTCAGGCAGGGGAAGCCATCTGTCCATGGGTGCCTCTGTCTGTCAGTAAGCCTGGCTCCTTGGAGGAAGAGGAGGAGGAGGAAGAGGAGGAGAAAGTCATGGTGATGGTATGAAGGGGACAGACACAGACTGGAGAATGATTGCCTGACTTCCTCCCTCCCTCCCCGCCTTCCCTTTCTCCCGTCTCCTGCCCTCACTTAGCACCTGCTGACCTCGTGAGTGTGGTGTGCATGTCAGGAGAGTGTGGGTGGACTGGGACACAGAAATGGCTCAGACACAGTGCCAGCACCCACCCTGCTCCCCACTGCAAACAGTTCATGTCCTGAGGCCTGCTATTCCAAGTGCCATGGGGTCAGTTGGGAAGGGGACAGGCCCTTTTGTCTAGGGTCAAGCCTGGGCCAAGGAGATGTGGCCACCACAGCTCTGGCTCCCAGCATCTCTGGATTTTTTCCTTAGAAAAGCCCAGGATGTGGTTCTCCCTATCCCCATTGAAGGTGGCGTCAGACAGACTGTTGAGCTTGGCAGGAACTCTGCGTGGAATGAGGCTGATCTGTTTGACGGAGTGTGTGTGTGTGTGGGGGGGTGACTGGCCTGGGGTGCTGGATGAGGCTGTGCACGCCTGCCCTCTGTGGGGCCCTTTGCTGTCCAGAAAGCAGCTCTGCTCAGACAGGCAGTTGGGGTTCCCAACCGGGGGCCTGGCTCCCTGCCCAGAGCAATTTCCCAGCTAAAGGCCTGCCAGGAAGAAGACTCCTATCAGCCTTCAGGGTGGGGCAGCTTGGACTGGGGGGAAGTGTGGACTCTGAGGACACCCAGCCTCACTTTCCATCTTCAGAGGGAGCCCTGAAGACACTCAGCCTGGGTTGAGGGCTGGCCAGGGTGCTCTTCCTGCTTTAAGTTGGGGCCTTCAGTGTATCCTAGGGTGAGCTTGGGCAACTCATTGCTCCTCTCTGAGCTCAAATTTCTTCATCTGCAAAAAAACAGGCTGACGGTTGAGAGAGGCCTCTAGCTCTAAGAGTTCTGAGAGCTAACAGGGACCCTATCCTGGGGGCCCCTGCATTGAAAGCCAGGGTTGGGTTTGAGGGCTGTAGAGGGGCTGTATCCCAAGCTCATTAGTGGTCTCAAGCTCTCTGTTCTTGGTGTTGTCAGGACATATCCCCACGGGGCCTCTACCTAGGAGGAAAATTCCATTACCATCCCCATTTCACAGATAAGGGGGCAGGCAACTTACCCAAGCCCCCACAGGAAGCAAGTGGCAGAACCAGGGAGGGTAACCGAGGCTGTCTGATGTCAGGCTGTCCCAGTTGTGCCTCAGGGAGCCCGATGGTGGTGTGTACAGGTGTGGCCCTTGCCTTGTATGGGCACCTGCCTCCCTCTGCTTGTTTTGGTGGAGGTGTGGCTGGGACAGGACGGATGGCGGGAGAGGAGAGATCAGGGGATGGAGATGCCAGCCTGACACTGAGGTTGATTGTGCATAGGTCAGGTT